GATTACCTCTGAAAAGCAGAAAGCTGCCCAAACTGGGAAAAAATACCTAATGAGAACTTTCAGTGAAAAAAACTGAGGGAAGGATTTTTCTCATGTGTTTTGTAGCTTCTAACCCCTCTCTTCCCTTCTCCTGGAGCGACCCCTAATGGGATGTGAAACGGGCACCACTGACCTGTGTATCTCCAGCCCTGCCACTATGCTCCAGGTGCCCGAGAGGGGCAGCCAGACACTCCCAGGGCTGCCAGCTGTGTCCTGCTGGTCCCAGTGGTAGGTGGTCTGCAAAGGAAGCAGAGGGAGAAAGCAAGCCAGAATGGAGAGTGATAAACGAAGAGTATCTTAGAAGTACACAGGCACGTTCACTGAAGAGGAGGGAATAATACCAAAAGAGACAGGAGGGAGTCCATGTGCAGTCAGCAGAGGAAGACAGTGACAGACACAGTGGAGGGAGACACTTTGAAGGCCTCCTCTATCAGCTGGGCCCTGATGGGGTCAGGGGTGTTCAACAGAAACACCCAGAACAGTCAGAACTGTCTGTCCTGCAGACTCATTTATAGGGGTTGCAGAAATAAAGGAATTAACATGGATTGACCGTTTTGTCTTACGTGCACCTGTGTGTACATGTGCCATGACCCCCACATCTGAACATCGGGGCCATCCTTCCACAGCCTGCCTGGATGAAAATTCCTCTTACAGCTTCTGACATGTGAGACTTGAGCACAGAGTTGAGTTACTGGGTACCACACATTCAGCCACAGTGTAGTTTTATGGGGCAGAGCACACAGATTTAACAGCTCACCTGAGGAGAGTTTCTGGTCTTTCTCTGGTCCTGGCTGTGTTATTTCCCCTGCTAAACTCATGCCAATGTAATTGCTCATCAGGTATGCTCTGAGTCACTTCAAGTTGCTAAAGTTGCAGAAAAAACCAGCACCACACAAGAAGAGAGCTGAATTGTTTCCTGCTGTTTTAATTTATCTATACAGCTATTGGAAAAAACTGGAGGAGGTAGGGGAGAAAAGTAGTGACTGCCCAGTCAAGGGTAGGAGCTGTTAGAGTGAAGTCAGCTGCCTGTGGCTCTGTGCCCTTACCAGCCTACCTGGCTGCTTTGCTGCATGTTTGAGCCCACCATCTGACAGAAGATAAAACCATTGTTCTGCAGGTTGATACCATGGCAATAGCCCAGCAGGGAAAAGAAAGGGAAAGAAAAAGCGAATAGTAGATTAATAGTATAAATTAGAAGGCTGCTGTTTGTTGTAGCAGGAAGCCTACTCACAGCAAAAGATGACCAGATTCAAGCAAAATTAACAAGTATGACACATTGAAGTTACTATTCTCTGCAGGTTTAGATTTTATGGAATGAATGAAACAGTTTTCTGGAAAGCTCTGGCAACATCCACTGTCCTCTGCATTGCAGCCATTCTCCTCACCTTCAGTGCTGAAAAGCAGTGCAGGAAAGAAGTGTAGGAAAGGAAATAGTAATCCAGGAGCCCTGACTTGAGCCTTGTAACTTGCTCAGTAAGGAGAGGGTTAGTTCCTGAAGCCAACTGTTCACTGTGCTGATTTTAGTACAAACAAGTAACATTTTAGATAGATCCAAAGATTTTGAACTTGAGAAAGGAAAAAAATAACCAGTGGAATTTCAAGATGTTTCAGACTTCCTGTCGTTTTACACTCGGATCTTGCAGTGCGTTAGTTGTTGCGTGGTATTAGGGAATAATTGCAGAGATAAGCAACTTCCCCAGAAGGAAGACCTTTTGGCAGTCTAGTTTCTGGAGGTATAATTCTAAGATGACATAGCTAACAGGCCTCTGAAAGCAGAAATGGCAGCACTGACTCAGAAGCATGGCTTGTAACTCAGTCCTTTCTGCCAGCAGTACACTGCTTGACATAGGTCACTGCTGGGATGTATGTTACAATACTTTGGCAGAGCTAAGATTCAAAACTTAGCTGTCCTTTTATTCCTTATTTCTCAAATCTGTCTATCCTATTTATACTAGTATAGTAGGATTTGGCATCAGCTTGTAACTCGCACAGAACAAGCTTGCACAAGGCTTTTGGGGTCTGAACATAATATTTCCCTCAAAGCCCTGATGATTGTACAAGGCCTTAGGGATTTCCACTAATTGTCTGATACTTTCACAAAAACTGCTGGCTGTCATTGCAGACCTGTAATTCATTCTACATACTGCTTATCATTTTAGAATTTTCTTTAGTACAGGAGTCTTTGTTATTGCACTTTTAAAAAATAAATTAAAAAAAAGTAAAGTCATGTGATAAAAATAACAGGTGGAGTAGCTGCTAATGAACCTCTCTCTGTTGTTTAATTACTCTAATCAATTCTACAGCAGGCATGTGTGACAACTGGGGAGGTGCATACAAAACCTGTCCAACCTGAATGCCCCGTGTAAGGAAATTTTTCAGGCATGCCATTAAAGCATCTAATGCTGCTGTTAAAAATACAGTAGACCTACACTGATCATATTTGCTACCCCGTTAGCACTCAGCTCAGTGAAGTTATGGGGTTGCATATACAGAACGTGTGTGAACATGTAGAAAGTTTTTGGAGCAGTGTCGTTGAGGATTGGGGTCAGTTATAAATGAGGGGAGGTTAGCAGCAGGTGGTGACGGCATTGGCAACAGAAAATTGCCATATCTGAAGCTCAGCAAGGTAACGCACAGGAAACGTTGATGCTCAGTAGGTCAGAGGGCCTCAGTAGTCATAGACGAAGAGGAAATTCTGAAGTCAACAGTAGAAGAAGGCTGACTGGTCCTGAATTCCCAACCACCAAGTTCCCAAACATACTTAAAATTTATGTTTCCCTTAATCAAATGGTCTTTCCTCCCTGTAGACTTGTAAGAACTGCTTCCTGATGGAGCATCTATGAAATCAAGTAATCAGCCTTTAGAAAGGGAAGTGCCCTTCTGCATCCAAAACCATCCAAGGGCCCTGAGTATCTAAGCTGACTCCCTGTATTTAGAAGGTACAATGTACAAATCAGCTGAGCAGACAAGAAAAACCTGATTGAGTTCCAATTAATGTCCTGTATACACCCTCCTCTTTCAAAATACTGTGAACAGTCCTAGTAAAGTGATGACTCTCTACCTACTACAAAATATTGAGTCTTTTGGCTGCATTGTTTGCAATTGGTACAAAGAGTTCCAAATCCTGACTTATGGACCAAGATTCAAATTCCTCTTTTCATTTAGCTCCACAGATATATTCCTTTGAAGTATTTGAAACTCCTAAACAGATTCGGTGACTAGCACAGTTATTGCCCTGATTCCCAGAAACTGTTGTTCAGAAGGGTCAAAGAAAAGGCATGTTGTCACGCAGAAATCAGCATCACCTCTGAAGAACACATACATACAACTGCACATTTAGTTCCTCTTGGAAAAGAGCATTTTTTGTGCTCTGCCTACTCTACCTAAATCTTTTTAGGAGGTGAAATCTGTATAGGTATACACCTGTATATACATGTACAAGCAGACTGACACATGCTGAGTTTCAGTTACTCTGTTCCTAGGTATTACCACCATTATCATTGCTCCCCTTTGAGCTCCTGGGATGGTTTTCAAGGCCATGATGTGAATGGGCTCAGTGCTGACCTACAGCTGCATTAGCAGAAGTAAGGGGACCAGTCTGGATACACAGGGAAGCAGGAGATCCTGAAGTAGCCAGAGGCTCTCGTCAAACAGCCGCAAGTACTTTCCTGTGCAGAGCAAGCGGCAGCAGGAAAGGGCTCATTACCTCAACACTCTGTGGAGGGAATAAGAAGGGCCAGAGTGGGAATATCTGATAATCCTTCATGGTGGCTGTCACTGGCTTTCCTTGGTTGGAAGCATCTGGCAACACAAGAGAGGAATTTGTTTAATTCCCTTGCGTTTCTGCTCTATTTCAGCCCTTTCTTTTCAAGCCCATACAGCCTTGACAGCAACTGGAGCCATTGCTCATGAGGAAAACGCCATGTGGATCAATGTTAGCAGCATAAAATGAAAGTCTGTATGCAAACCACAGATCCTGCCCCACTTTAAAGACAAATACAGGACCACTGTGTCAAGCATCTTACATTCTTGGCTGTCAGACAGCAACAGAATAATAAGATTCACAATTGTGTAATTAACTTCAGAACTTTGGAGCGACAAGCCTGACATGTTAGGGGTTTTAATTTCCCCAATAGGCAGCTCTATCTATGCTATGCTTCAACATCCGTCATGTTTACTAATCTTAGTCTGACCCCTAGTGAGCTGCCACAGAATAATCAGATAAGGCTTTCTTCTGAATGTGCAGGGGTAGAAGAGAACACGACTTAGTATCAAATTCACTTATCTCCACATAAAAAGTGGTTTTTGCCTCTTTCCCCTTATTTTTTTTTTTTTTGTGCAATCAGGAACTGCTTCCTCAGATTTATGAAGAGATTTTTGCCTCTGAAGGAGATGAAGTGCAAGTTATATCTGATTAGATAATACATTTAAATTAACAAACACTTAGACAAAAAAAGGGTGCAAGCTAAAGCAGTAAACATTTTAAAGGACTTAAATAACTTGCACAATTTTTCAAGCCATTAGAAGCTTCTGGGTTTTTGTCAGCTCTAACCTCAGCATTTTGTTCATACTGAATATTTCTTGCTCAGTGTGTTTATGCCAGGTAGTTACAGGCCAAAATACAATCAATGTGCACTTGCCTTGGCAATAACACAAGCATAGTAAAATTTTTATGGATTTTTTTTTCCCCTGCATGAAGATCTATCTATCAGGCACACTGACAAATTAAAAAAAGTAATTTGCCCAACCTCTGAAATGTATCCACGAGAGTTCAGGCTTCTTTGTTGTTTGTTTTGGTTTGCTTTTTTTCTTCTAAAAGCAGCACTCTTCTGTAGCTGTAGCCAAGAGGACTCTGTCAGTACTGGCGCACTCTGTCCATGGTTTTGATGTACTTCTGTCACCCACAGCCTGTGCACAAGATGTGGCTTTGACACCTGTTCCCTTCTTTCCACTCCTTACAGGCATTTTGAAGTTTGTGGAAATCACAGTTAACCTCCTGGTACTGATTTGTGTGGGAGCTTCCCAAGCCTCTGTTGCAGGCTTCACATCCCTTGGAGGCTTTGGATCCTTTAACCTGAATTCAGCCTACAGCCCCTTCGAGGGCACAGAGCTCCGGGAGGTGAGGGAGCTGGACATGCAGATCACCCAGATGAGAGCCCCTTGCGTGTACGGCGGCGTAGCCTTCAGCTTAACAGCAGCAGTGCTTACCCTTGTCTTCCTCGTGGTGGGGGCAAAGCCCATCCACCAGCTCAGGACAGGGCTGCTGGTAGGCGAGTGCGCCTTCAACCTGCTGGCTGGCGCGGCGTACGTGGTGGCCGTGGGCCTCTACCTGCATTTTGTCAGCCAGGTGAACTCCACAGAGGTTTGCAAGAGGCGTGAGAGGCTGTACTCGCGCCGTGGCTACACCTCCATGAACTGCGTGGTCCAGGGCGGTGACGCGGCCGTGGGCCTTTTCGGGGCCGTCGCTTCCTGCTTGTACTTCGCCAGCTTCGTGGTCTGCATCCGTGCTGTCCGAACTGTCAGGGCCTTCCAGAGCCACGTGGCCAAGGCTCAGCACAGCCCCAAAGTCAGTGTTAAGGACAGAGGCATCAGAAACCACCCTGCTGTTCACAGGACCACTGAAAGCTCCCACAACATCCAGGCTCTCGCCACGTTAGTGTGAAGTTGGCTCTGGGACTGTGCCAGAGAGCTGGGGCTTCAGCCAGGGACGGACACTGGGTGTCACATGGCAAACAGGAGACCAGCCCACAGTGTATCTCCCTACAAGGTGCTGAAGTGTGTACAGAATCACTAAATGTAACTATACAGCTATAACATGATGTAATAAAATTGACTTTGAGTGACTTTGTTTTAACGGGTTTTTTTTTGTACTAGTCTCTCAAGCGGGACTCCTGCAGGTAAAATGTGTTTGTGATGTTTTCATCCTGCACAGAGCAAATCCAAATAGTAAAGGGCTTTTAACACGTTATAACTGCATTGATGCCAAACTTGTTCTAATAACCACTTCCTTTCCTCTCCTGTGGCATAAGGAATTGAATACACAGCTAGGACGGGCAGCCTTCAGCAGATCCTGGTGCCTGCTGTGCATCCTGTTGATTTATGCTACAGTGCTCACAAAGCAAAGGACACTCGAGTGCTTTTCTGAATCGTGTCTGAGGTTACATTTGTGACCTGTTTTGCTTCGGCTAGTGAAGCGTTTTATCTTTTGAGTCACAGGGGTTGGCACATGCCGATCATGTGCTCCCTGAGGAATGCTGCCGGGAGGAACTGGCTGCAATGTCGAAGGCAGCACTTTGGTCCTTATCCAGTTTCCTGCTATATTTTCCCAGCTCACTGAGCGCAGATCAGAACCCAAGAGACAACACAGTGGTTGGGAATCGGCTTAGTAAAGATACCGTTTGCTTCTGTAAGCCCCTAAATAAGGTTTGGCTTGCTGACTCCGCAGCCTGTGCTGGGCAGAGCCCAAATCCGGAACGGTGCTGGCTGCCCTGGGAACACTGTAACAGTGACAGAAAGCACATGTATCCTTCCAATATCTAAACAGGCAAAGCATGAGTGAACAGCAGTAATTGTATGCCCCAGGGATGAGAAAATAAATTTAAGAGAACTTCTTTCAAGACTCCTTTGTTTGAGGCAGAGGAAATAGATCACTGGTCTTCATAGATGAGGGAGTGCCAAAAAAAAGGCTGCTCTTGAAGTGTGTAAAGTTTGTCAGCTTGAGGGAGGGAAGAGATAATTTTGATTCTGGCTGTTCTCACTCTTTTCAGTTTCGTCTAGCTCACAGCCATTGCCCAGATGAGGCTCTTTTGAACCATAGTAAATCTTATTTATTGTATACTTCATATATACATATACATACACACACACAGAGATTTTGAAGGATTATGTTTGAGGTAATATAAGCCAAACAAGAAAATGTTATGGTTCTGATTAGAAGTGATTACGTGAGCCTTTACAATAAGTATCATTTATATAATACCTTAAACATTAATTTAACACTGTAAACACCAACACTGTGAACACCAACAAGCTCTAGAGCATTATTAGGCTTATGAAGAGATAGGAATAAAGAGTTTTTCCAAACTTGCTGTGACTCACAGTTGTGATAAGAGTCAAGAAATTGACTGATTTCTAGACTGGTATGCTGTAGTCGGCTGGGAAGTCTGGTACAGGGATGTCTGGCGTGCTCTGACATGTCCTTCTGATGTTGCAGACCCCAGAGCTGGATACGGTACCCAGGTGGGGGTCTCACCAGAATGCAGCAGAAAGGGCTGAGTTGAGTAGCTCATTTATCTCAGAGTTACCTGTGAGACTCTCAGCCAGTCCCTTTGGATTCGAACCATCAATTTGCACCAGTCTGCTTCAATGCAGGAGCAAACAGCTTTAGTCAGTCAGAGAAAAAAGCATCCAGCTGAGCCCCTGAGCCATTAGCTATCCACAGAGGGACCCCCTCCCTGCAGAAGAGCCTTAGAGAAAAACAATCTCTCTGAAAAAATGTGTCTCCATGCCCTAGCCCTGAGGAGGAAAGGAAGGGAGAAAGGGAGAAGAATCCACCCTCCTGATGGTACCATGAAAATTTCATCATGCTGGGTTGTATACCTTTGAGCACCAATTTTCCTGGATGTCTCCTGTATTCAAATAATGTTTCATAAAATAGTTCAGTCTGGAAGAAAGCTTGTCCAAAACAGAGCAAATCAGCATCCAAAGACACAGGTATCTTGTTCCAGTGTGAAAGCCAAAACTGTGGAGGGTGAGGCCAGAGGGATAATAGGATATTTACTCCTCCAAGTAAGCTTAGCATAACCTTCATATTTCCCAAACAATTAATGTATCTGGAACTGTAAATCTGGTGCTGCTGGAAGATCTGCATGTATTGAGGTACTGCTGTCCTGCTACAGAGCAGCTGTAAGGAAGAAGGACCTCTGTAACCATCCGCAAAAGGGAAATTTTCGGGTAAGCACAAACAAGCAGCATTCCTATTTTCTTAATGAGTTTAAGAAAACGTCCCTAGACCATATTACATTTTGTCGGAATTTAAGCTTTTTTCATTAGTTCTTCAGAAGAGTTTGAGTATATCCCATGTGCAGAAACAACCAGGGACACAAACAGGTTGTGTAACAGCAGAAACTGAATTCAAGGCTTAGTGTTAAGAAAAGCTGCGATCTCAGTTTACATGGGAAACTGCTTTAAATTGATGAGAATACATACAGGGATTAGAGTACTAAAGAGCAGTCTGAATGGAAATTTTCTTCCATAATCCATGTATTTTACTCCCAGTGCAGACTTACCTTCATTAAAGTTATTCTTCTTCTAGTAGTTTTCCACCACAGCTTACACTCACCGTAGTTAAGTAAAGCTGTAGATACACAGCAGACCTTCAGTAACTCCAGTTTCTCAATCACATTTGCAGAACTTGGATGTCTCCTTTTCTTTTTCAAGACTCAGGTAAGTTATGGAAGGGGACGATGACCGCACAGTTTATGACAGCTGTGACATTCACTTATGACAGCTGTGACATTTGCCGTTACTCATCCCTTTCAAAACATCCACGAGAAGGTGGCGGGCTCAGAGTATTGTAGCGGCTTAATGCCAGCACAGCATAAAAACTGTCACAGATGCTCACCATCACCCATCATAAATAAAACATGAGACTCCTTGCAAGGCCCGTGGGTTGTCAGCGCGTTTGATGTAATTGGTTTTGGCGTGTGACAGTGCAAAGCGGGCAAGTCACAGGATGCCCTTCATTACTACAAATGGTCTTTTGATTTCCAGTGATGCCTTTTGCACACAGACCCGCGCCTGCTGCTGGACTCCCCAAAACTCTCAGGCCGTGCTGAAGGGTTCAAGTGAGGGAAGTGCCTGCTATGTGTTTTACAGGGAATTAGTGTTTCAGAAGGATGTAGAAAGGCTCGTGAGGCAGGTGCACACAGGTAAAGACCACATGTTTTAAACAGGCTTTAGAAAACTCAGATGTGGTTTGGATATATTACTTTTGGTACTATAAGAGAAACTGTACAGTGGAGGGGTTTAGGCACTTATAGGTATGTGAAAGCCTCGGGTTTTTGCTATCCTGTGCTGACTTCCAAGATAAATACGAATAATGAAAGTGCAGGAGGAAAACAGGAGGCTTGAACTTGCCCAGCTGCTTAGTGAAAACTGGAATTTCATCAGCTGTGAAGGCACTATGTGTGTTGCATATACATTACTCATAGGCTTCCCACTGTACCCAGATTTACAGATGTAAGCATAGCTTTGTACTATCGTTTGCACACCCACAGCACAGCAGCCCATATCTGCAAGCACGAAGGGTGTGCCACAGTGACTTCCACATGCTGTATATTTTAGGGCAGGATTCTTGGCACAGAACGATGGAAACCATGGGACACTGAAAGAGCTGCTGACAGAATTAACGAGTTTAAGACTAAGTGGAGATTAGCTAGCATTCCTAGTCACCCTGTGGGAGGAGGTAGGGGGACAAACAATAGAAAAAAAGGTGCTTTAGATTGCAAAACTAATTTCCCAGTGAGATGGCCCTGTCACAGGTTGGGAAAGACCTCTTAAGATCATTGAGTCCAGTCGTTAACCCAGCACCGCCGTGTTCACCACTAAACCACGTCCTCAGGTGCCACAGCCAGATGTCTTCTGAACACTGCAGGGAGGGTGACTCCATCACTTTCCTAGGCAGCCTATTCTGAGGTCTGAACATCCTCGTGGTAAAGGTAAAAAATCCAATTGGTAAAAAATCCAATCTAAACCTCCCTTGGTGCAACTTGAGGCCATTACCTCTCATCTTGTTACTTGGGAGGAGAGACTGGTCCCCACTTTGCTACAGCCTCCTTTTGGGTAGTTGTAGAGAACGATAAGGTCCCCTCCTGAGCCTCCTTTTCTCCAGGTTAAACAACCCCAGCTCCTTCAGCTGCCCCTGTAAGACTTCTGCTCCAGACCCTTCACCAGCAGCACTGCTGTTCTCTGGACATGCCCCAGCACCTGTGCAACTTAAGGGAGATTCAGATTTTTACACTGTTGCGGATCAGCTTTGATGGTGAATATTTGGCAATTTATTGGTACAAATAAATAAGACACGCTGTGATCAAGATCTCATTGCCCATTTCCTAAGACTACTTGAGAGCTCGGCAAGATCCTCTTCCACCTGGCAGCACTGCAGATGCTCTCCTGAGCAGTAGCAGGTCCAGTTTCCCTAGTTCCCTCACAGCCCTTGCACCCTTGTTTAGACTCCCAGCAAATGCTTGTTAAGAGTCACGAAGCTTCAGTGTGCACGGCAGCTCTCAATCTGTGCGAAGCAGATGCCTGCTATGTCAGTGTTGCCGCCTTCCTGCCTTCCTTGTTCAACTGAAGGAAGGCTTCTCCGGACCTCTGGTACTCCTGCATGACTCGCACGATGGGGTGCACAAGGGTGTGGGATGCACCCATTTCACTGGCAGCCTTCAAAGAGAATAAAGACGCAGCAATGCTGGCCCTGTCCCGCAGTAACACGAGGGGGAGCCCTTGCAGCTTTCAATTAATGGAGACAGCAAGGAATACGACTTTTTTCACCCCAAATAAAAAGGCCCACTTCCTCATCAGAAAAAAACCCAGGAGGCTTGAAAGGCATCTCTGATCTTCACAACGAGACTGCTTCTGGCTCAAACAAGAGAAAGCCACAAACCACTGGGAGAGAGGAAGGTTAGTTGGTATGGATCCCTCTTCCTACACATCCTTCTTTCTGAAGGGGGGACAGGGTGCAGGATGGACTGGGGACATATTTTCGCATGTTTTCATTTCAAAGCACTCCAAGAATGCCAGGGGAAACTTTACTGATACCTG